TAACACATTTTGGAGCCTTTTAAAATACAACTGCTGTGCACCTTCAAGCCATGTGTTGACAGAGATTTAGTGGATGTATCTATGGCAGTTCTGCAGTGAAAAGTGCTAGTGAAGTGTTAGTGTTCAGCTGCCAAATCATAGCTTGAATTTTGAGATTAATTGGTTTACATGTCCTTTTGGTTGGCTGCACTTTACCTGGTGATTTAATGGCCTAGATTATTACTGTTATATAACTGTTATAACACAAAACAATGTTTTGAGACATTTTAAAATAAAAAGTAAAGGAACAATCCCTTTGCTTAGTATTTTAAGCTCTAACTGTAAGTGTGCTTTTTGTCCCTGAGCCAGAGATGATGGAAAAGGGAAGAAAAGGTGTTGCTATAATAGGAATGACTGCTTTTTCATGAAAGTGCGGCTCCAAATGCTGCCAGTGCTCTGTGCAGGGGAACTGGGGAGCTTGCCCCTGTAAGACAAAACATCAGCATCTGGAGGAAGTGGTCTCTGGAACATGACTCAGGTATTCCTATTTCACCTGACACAAGGAGAGGAAATCTAACGTTGCCTTTTCTGTGTTTGAAAATCTCCTGAATCCTCTTTGCCATGGCTATCACTTGCCTCATTTACCACCTAACCTGGAGACAGCAGCAGGCATTTCAGCCTTGTGCTCTCCCCTTCTTTGCAAGGGGAGCAGAGCTGTGGCTCAAACCCACTTGCTGTGTGGGTTTGTGGTAGAGAAGTCTGCATGTAATGTCTGAACTGAAATCCAGGTTACTCTACAGTTACTGCACCTGGGAGTCCTAACATTTTATTGCTGCTTAGCCAATTAGCCCTCATGACACATCTTACATCATATGAAGCCTTGCTGTACCAATTTAAACAGTCTCTTCTCAGAGATAATGTAGGTTATACGAGTTTATGATTTTAAAGAATAGCTATTATTTGAGGACAGATGAGGCAAGATGTGCCTGACAGTAGCTTTTCTCCTTAGTCTAGTGAAAAAAAAAAAAAAAACCATAGCAAAAGCCCAAAGCTGAAATAATTCAGAATTTTTCAAAACAGAGTAGGTGCTCAAGCACTGTAACAGTTTTCCTGGAATCTCAATGGATTTTCTGCCACCTAACAATGAAGATGAGTCCTGTCTGGTCAAATCTTGACACTGTTGTCAGGCAAACTGAGCTAGTCACCTTCTTTTCCATGGACAAGCAATGTAAAGATAGAAGCATACTGGGAACATGGTTTGTGTCTGTTCAAATTGGACAGTGAAAATAGTAAGATGAATTTTAAGTTGAAGGTGTGCATTTTGCCCTGATGACTGCAAAGGCAGTTTTGGCCAACTGACTTATCTGTGAATTTTTGTTCTTGTAGCCACCCCAAGTCAGACAAAATTAATTATACTCCAAATTCCTTCTTACTTGTCTTGGGTTCATCAGTAGCAGTCATTGTTTCCTTCTTAGTAGCTGGTTCAGTGCTGTGGTTTTGACTTTCAGCCTGGGAACAGGACTGATAACACTGATGTTTTTACTTGTTGCTCAGTAATGTTTACTCTGACCAAGGACTTTCTGAGTCTCATGCTCTTCCAGGAAGGAGGGGAAGATGGGAAGAAGTGGAGACAGGACACCTGACCCAAACTAGCCAAAGAGGTATTCCATACCACAGCACATCATGCCCAGTATATAAACTGAAAGCAGTTACCTGGAAGGCCCAGGTTGCTGCTAGGGTCAAGCTGGGTATCGGTTGGCAGGTGGTGAGCGGCTGTGTTCTCTTCCCTTATGATTATTATTATTGGTGGCAGCAGCAGTGATTTGTGTTATACCTTAGTTACTGGACTGTTCTTATCTCAGCCCATGGGAGTTATATTCTTTCGATTCTCCTCCACATCCCTTCAGGAGCAGGGGGAGAAAGCGAGGGGGAGAGTGAGAGAGCGGCTGTGTGGTTCTGAGTTACCGGCTAGGCTTAAACCGTGACATAACTCAAGCTTGATGCATGGGCTTGGTATGCAAAGGCTAGTGAAAAGCTGTGATCCTGGTGTCATGCAGTAGCTCAGATTGGGACAGACTGAGCTCAGCTTAGAGGAGGAGCTCTAGTGGAACAAACATCTGCACAAGGAAGACTCTGAGATTGTAGAAGTCCCAAAAACTTAACAGTGCAGCAAGAAAAGTGGACAAGTTAGCACCAGTATGGTCAAAAACAGACAAAACAACAAAAGTCACTCTGGAAGCTCTGACTTTTACTCAATTATCCTCCCAAATTAGGTTGTTCTAGGTAGCAGGGCAGTAAGCATTCATGGAGCAGAAGAAGATGCCAGCAAGGGGTAAGACTGCAAAAAGGGTTTTTAGTACAGTGTCTAGGAAGTGAAATTATGACAGAAACCTGAATTGAAACAAAAGTAAGCAAATTCTTTAGGAAGTGTTGCAACTAAAAAAAGAAAAAAGAGACTCTCCGATCAAAATGTTTTATTTGGCAAATAGAAACAAAAATAATAAATACTTAGAGTCAAACAAAGAATTTCATATAAAACCCTAGGAGTCATGCAGAAAGGTCTTGTTTTGTGGAGAACATGAATTTGTGATGTTGTTATTTATGTCAAGAGGAGCTGTGGCTGGGGTTGCCTTTATATGTGTTCTCTGCTTTTAGAATAATGTTTACTGAACTGAGGAAAAAAAATTAAAACAAACAAAAAGCCCCCAAAAACAAGACAGTTTTAAAAGGCAATTCCAGCAATTAGCCTGCAGATCCTCATTTAAGTAACCCCTGTTGAACCCTATTGCATACTTTATTCAAAATATTTATATAACATTAGAGGACAGCAGGTTTGACTACAAAGCCTCTGTAGAGCACAAGCATTTATGTAACTTCAGTTTGCTTATCAAAAACATCTAAGCTTGCAGTCACATTACAATGTTACAAACATTGCTGTATTTTTACCTAGGTATTTCCAAGGCTTTATTTTAGATTAAAAGGGTCTTGACTGTTGCACGTTATTTGTCCATACTGCATAGAAAGAAACTCCCAGGGACATTTATAGTAATTTGGCAGCTGTGCTCTGCAACATAACCAGATCTCTCAAAAAACTGAATAATTTTCCCCTGCTAATTTTCTTTGCAGAAGAAATAAAAGTCACAGTGAAAATCATTCTTTATTAAATGATATTTGTAGCAAACTAAAACACAGAAAATGAGACTGAACCAATTTATTTTTTTTTTTCCTTGTTGCAAACTGCTTGTTAACATTTGGCCCTCTGCAAATAGTGAGGATATATATATGGCTTTTGCTATTCCTCATTTCTTACCAATCTGCCTGGGGTTGAGGCAAAGGAATAACTCTTAGAATGGAGTTATAGAAGGGAATTTCTCCCTTCTATTTCCTTTTGCTGAGAGGGTTATAGTGTGTCCTTCAAGAGGAAATTGAGTTTCTGAACTGAAAAACACACAGTAAAAGGGAAAACTATGTTCTCAAGGAAAATTTTGAGAAGCATTATAAGCACTGAAATCTTACGTTGTTACATGGGAAACAACATCTAGGACTTTATGTGTACTTCTAGAATGTTTCTGAGTTGTAGCTATTGCAGGTAGGGCAAGAAATATGCTTGTTGGGGTCAGACCAGGGGCACCTCTAGCTCTTCCATCTGCTTCACTGCATATATCTGGGAAGGCATGCGAACCTATCTTCTCTGGGGTATTCCCTTCTACTTACAACAGCCATAAGGGTTGGATTAAGGATGCTGGAAGTTACATTCTTCCTTATTCCCTTTCCTGCCTGTTGATGGGCTTGTTGTCCAAATTTGTCCAAACCATTTTAAAGTCTGCTAACGTTGCTTGCCTCCTTCCCAGGGCAGCACATTCCAGAAGTTCTCTATCCATTGCTAAAAAACCCCACTTTCTCTTGTCCCCCTCAGGCTGGTCTACTCATTTCCTTTTTGCACAAAGGAACAGCGTACAGTCACTGTCTGGTCACAGTTTTAGGGTTACACATGATTTCATAAAAGATTGCTGCATCCACTTCAATCACCTCTTTTGGACATGGAAGACTCCAAACTTACTTGATTGCTCATCATACAAAACTGGCCTGTAACTTCAACCATCTTTGTTGTGCTTCTGTAACCTTTATCACATGTTCTATCTGGTGTGAGAAGCTTTGCGTGGCATGTGTTGTATGGTTTGATTTTGAAGAGCTGTTAATTCATATCACTTAGCTGCTGAACTGAAAATACTATCTTTCTGACACAGCACTACTATAGAAATTCAGATAATATAGTCTTTCAAGATACAGAACAAAACTTCTAGCAGTCTAATTACTTAAAACATCAGTTCATTTAAACTCTTAATTTCACAACATAAGAAAAATGTCTATGAGCTGCTCTTTCACATCCTTTTCTGTCAGAAATGTAGTGTTTAATGGACAGGACTATTTTATTAGAAAATTAATTTAACAGTAAATATTCAGCTTAATTATTGTAAATAATTAATAGTTATGCTGTTACACTGACACCTGAAATAATATTTGGCTCATGAGAAAATTTTCTTTTACTGAGGTTTTGAAATTATCAGAACACAAAAATTGTAACTTCAATATTGAAAAGTTATACTCTTCCCTGTTTCACCAGAAAGCAGGTAGCCAAAGCCAATCTTTTAAAAGTACATTCAGGTTACTTTCGAAAGTTCCTTCAGGACTGTAATTTCTACGGCTACTCAAGATACAAGTTCAATTGAAGTGAGATTGTTTCTTACAGGTAAGCTGGAAGTAATGCTGCTTTCACAGAAAAAGGGTGAAGAGTACTTTACTGAAGCTTGTGCGGTTAAGGAAATTACAGCAGTACTTCAAAGCAGCCCTGAGGTTCATACTATTATTTTAGCACATTAAGCAGCTGTGTCTTGAGTCAATTTAATCAGTGAATTGTATGTTCCTTAGTTTGATCATGACCTAAACTCTTTTAATTAATTAACCCAGTTCTTCAAAGCAGTGGAAATGAGTCATATTTCAACTGAAATAATTGTTATTACCTGATAGGTCCCATTAGAAAAACTCCTGATTTCAGGTAGGACAGGCAAACCAAGGACCTCTTCTTTTTTTGCACACAATTTGAATCTTTGCACCCCACTGTAGATGTGTTCTATTGGGAGACAGCTGCTCTCACCCCATTTGGTCAGGTTAGATATATGCTACTCTGCTTCTTATATTCACTGCCTTTTTCCCTTCCTTACATTTATCAGCCTCCCAAAACACCAATAGGAGGGAAATGGGAACTTCACATCTGCTGGGTTTTCTGGCCTTCCTTTGTGATAATAATACCTATTTTCTACAATCAAATAGTATTTCTCCTTTTTTAAAGTAAAATTTATTTTTTTTGCCTATGTTCACATTGACAAATAGCTCAGGACAGTAGGACTGAATCTGTGAATTCAGGCATTAATGTTGAGGCCTTGACATCTACTCCATCATGGGGTATGATGGACCTACTTCGGCCAATTCCCAAAGGTCCTGATCCTGATCCCCTATCCCACATATGGCTTAGACCTGAGACCAGTCTTTGTTTCTGACTCATGTTTCTGAACAGAAGCTCAGCTGATGCCTACCTGGAGCAAAAGCACTGGTCTAGTTTGTGTAGACCAAAAAAGGTTTGAGGACTGAACCATCACACCCTTTTATGATTATGATCAGATTTGCCCCGGAAGGGCTACACTGCTCTAGACCACAAAACAAATGTAGACTTGGCCTTTCTCTCCTTGCAGGTGCCTTCTACATGCCTTTGCAGTGCTTCTGATCCGATGCTCTTTGCTTCTATCCTCACCAGCCCACGCTGCCATATTTATCCAGACACATCTCTGACATGGTTCCAATGAGAATGTTGGGATTGGATTTCTGGAAACAGATAAGCTCAGCATTCCCCTACTCTGATTAAAAAAGGGTTGAAAACACAACCCCAAATTATAACAAAGTGGAAAATGGGAGGAATGATTCACTTAACAACCCAGCAATGAAAGTAGTGACTCAGGTGAGAGGGAACAATGACAGTTTGTCCGCACTTCACCAGTATTGGTATGAGCTGGTATTTGCTCTTTTAACTATGGCAGTACTGCTGTTTTCCAACCCCATATTCAATCAATGTTTTTGGCTTAATTCTCAGCTGGGGCCCACTTTTCCCTCCCCAACCCCCTCTTCTTTTCAATAGCGTCCAGTTAGCTAATAAAAGAGAGCCACCTACGCTGAGCTGTTTATTGTTGCCTGTTCCCTGCATGGTTGGGGTGGTGGTGAGCAGGGTACAGGTGATTGAGTGTTAATTAGACCTTTCCCACGCAGCAGGTTTCCAAAGTGCTGTAGTTACAAGTGGCACTCTCAAATAAAAGCCCAGACTGGGGATGCAGCTACAAAATACTGACAAAACAGCAATCCTTTAACCCTGTCTTTTTTGCTTTTCTCTTCTGACAGCATCCCCACACTAGCACCATCTCTCCTGGTAGTAGTACTGCTCTAACAGAGCTCCCCCATGCTGGGCTGTCAACGTGCCCTCTTTCCCTGGTCCCTCCACAACGGTTCCCAGCTTCTGACTTTTCATCTTCCTTCCTTGCATTCATTTCTTGGCTAAAAATAAGATATGCTGTTCCTGAGTCTGTTTTCATACGCTGGACTAAGTGACTGTCATTAGCACATTTGGATGGGACACTCTGACCACATTACAAAACCAATCAGCTCTTCCCATTCATTCAGCATGAGGAAAAATAAGGCAAAAGCTTTTTCCAAGAAGCCTGAGGTATACTTAGAAAAGCTTCTGACAGCCCAGATTCTGGCTTTCACAAGGAAACAAGTTTCTCTAGCTGGCCAGTTTGACCAGATGAGTGTGTTTTCTCACCCAACTAATACTGCTCATGGAAGACCTTACAAGGCTAGACGAGCTCCACTGCCTGGATTTGAAGATAGGAGTTTTCCTTTTCCTGTGAGGAAGGCCTGTCTTCGTTAATAAAAATTCAGGAAGGGCTTTAACCCACACATTCTGAACAAGACTGTCACCGTCCTAGCTAGCTAGACCGTGGCAGTTAAACCTCCAGTGTAAAGGGTGGGGCCAGTTCTGCAAGCTGCGCCTCACCTAAAAAATCCACTGCACAGGCTGGAAGGGCTTACTCTCACTTGCCTGTATGGACAGGCGAGGGGCCAAACGGTAGATGACAAGGTGCATGGGAAGCTGCAGATCCAACCTTGCATGAGGGTGGACCAGGGCATGGGTAGCTCGAGATTGCTCAGGAGATGACAGTCCTGGTAGGACACTTCCCGACTGCCTAAGCACCCTTGTTTTCCAACCAGATTTGCATATCCCACATGCCCTTGGTCATCGTGCTTGTGTGGTTAAAGTCCTTCCCAAATCTTTGCTCGTGAAGCCAAGCCATCATCATCATCATCATCACCAATACTGCTCATAAATCCCTAAGTCAAACCTTCAAAGAATCCAAAACAGACTTTGCTGCTGTTGGCAGCTTCTGACCTAACTGGATGGTAGCAAGAAGACTGGGATTGGTTCAGATGATTTTTTGTTTTTTTTCCTCTGTGCAATGGTATTTGCTTTACCTACACCATGACAAGAAAAAGCACGATTCTTTGGTGACATTTCCCATGCTGCCACTGCTGGCTTTGTTTGCCTTGTTTTCTGTAAGAGGAGATCCCCAAAGGACTTTTCTTACCATGAAAAGAATAGGTGTAGGTGATGGTTTTGACAGTTCAATGGTTAGTATGAGTGAAATCCTTAATCCTACCTTTCAGGATTTAGTAAAATCTTTCATTTATGTGTAACGCTTTGTAGAGGTCCACAGACTCTGTTCTTACCATCACACATATTGATAGTGAAATTAAAGGTAAAACGTATGCCTTGATCCAATATCATATATTAGGATCTGATTATCTGAGCTTCAGTGGTCAGAAAACCACAGTGGCTCCAGGATACTGGTATCTCCAAGAATTTTGTTTTTGCAGTCCCTTCGTGCTAATCTCTCTGTTCTCGAAGGAGACCTGTTACAAAGAGGATCTTTAGGATAAGGTATATGGACCTGTCAGTCACTAGCTACTTGCCTAGACAACATATCATAGATCTTTAGATCTCCTAAAACAACAGACAAAGACTATTTTTCTTCTCCAGATACACTAACTTATTTTGTGTAGTAGCTTTAACACCTTTTCCTGGAACACATAGGGCATGGAAGTGTGAATAGTTAATTTACTCTGCATTTGCTTACTCCTTGATGAGTGAAACCTGGATGTAACAGATGAGATATGTTGAGAAGAACCTGACCTTTAAATTTGGCCTGGGAGTAGGGCCTGTTCTCCTAAAATGAATGAAGCCAGATGGTAATGATGAAGAGCAAGATTCTCCTGCCTTTACACAGCCTTCTGCTTAGTCCAGACTCACGGCTTTTGTGTGTTAAACATGATCACGTATCCCACCCCTACCACAAGTGTAAGCATCTTGGAAACACAGCAGGGAGCTTCCTAAAGGTTTTATTGTTTTTAGTTTCCTCTCATTTTATCTGTCAGTGGTCAGAGTCCTCCATGAGAAGAATAGGAGAGGAGAGACAATGTGGCGGGTTGACCTTGGCTGGCCATCAGATGCCCATCAAGCCATTCTATCACCCCCACTCCTCAACAGGACAGGGGGAGAAAATCAGATTAAAATCTCATGGGTCAAGATAAAGGCAGTTTAATGATAAAAAGAAAAGGTCACACAGAAGGAAAGCAAGGAAAAAATATTTACTCTCTACCTCCCACCTACCAGCAGGTGATGCCTGGCCACTTCCTGGGAAGCAGGGCCTCAGTACACAGTGGCTGGTTCAGAAGACAGCACCTTAATAAGAAATACTCTCCCCTCCTCCACCTTTCCACCCCCCTTTAGCTGTTATTGTAGCATACGGTCTGAACTATCCCTTTGGTTGTTCTGGGTCAGCTGTGCCCCCTCTCACCCTCTTGCCCACCCACTCCCCACCTAATGGCCTTTGGGGACAAGAGGGGTTGGAGAGACAGCTTTGATTTGTACAAGATGTTCAGCAGCAGAACACTGGTATTTATCAATATTGTCTTAGCTATCAATACAAAGCACAGCAGGCAGAAAAACTAGCTCCATCCCAGACAGATCTGGTACATACAGCAAAACATCAAGCTTGTCTCTACCTGTTTACCAGTTGTGGACAGGGTGGCTCAGTGAATCCCTTTGTCCCCACCACCCACCCCTTCCTGCCCACCACAGCAGAGAAGCAGAAACACTGAGGAACCAGCTTCACCCAAGAGGTCTACAAATCTGTGCAGCTCAAAACCCAGAGAGCAAAAAAGTATTCAGGATGCCCCATGCTGCTTTATTCCCTGTTCTCTGGAAGGAAAGGGAGCACTCTGGGTTCTGAAGCCATTCCTGATACCTGGTATGAGGCAGGGTACTCCCAGACCTTCCCTTGTGGATGAGATTGGTGCCCATGGTGCCATATGGCAAGAGAGTGAGCAAGAAATGCAAACAACAGAAATGCTACCCTACCCTCTCCTGTTTTACAGGAGCCACACCAAATCTGTCTTCCATTTGGCAAATGCCCCTCCTGAACCCGGTCGAGCCTTGATTGTCTGAAACTACTAGATTTCTTTTTCAAGTCATTCCCTTCTACTCATCATTGAAAGATTACTTTAAATTATATTGTTTCCACATGTTTGAATATATATTCTTTTAAAAAGCACAAGAAATAACTCTATTACAGTTCCCAGACTGCATCATGATTTCTCTTTATTGCTATTTAACTTTCAAATAAGTCTTCCAGGAAGAGAGAATAGTCTTGGTGTTGCAGAAACAGATCCTGGCTGAATGCATCATAATCACAAATGCTTTTTCATGTAAAGGGAATATATATCATCTTGATGGATCTCTGATTTCAACTTGAAAAGAAAAACAGATAGTCTCATCCCAAGCTGTGTTCAAAGATGAAGGATGTGCGAGCAGGCTGTGGCAAAGACACTAAAGAGGAATGCTATCATTCTGAGATTTGTCAGCTCATCTTTCGGTTATGCAAGGTGTCATTTATCACCCAGTTTTCATAAGGAAATGCTATGCATTAATCTGTCCTAAAGCAATATTTCATGTTATCTGTCAGTTAGTAAACACTGAAAATAAACAATGATTTAAAAAAATTTAAAATTGTGTAAGATCTTTCAGGGGGGATAAAAGCAATAACTGGATAAATACAACCTGGAAATTA